TCATTCTGAAGAAGAACCTAAATAGCTGGAATGACCGTGCAGATGAGCAGAGAATAAAATTGAACACCAGAAAGCAGACGCTCACCAGCGAGCCGCTTGCCAAGCTACGACTCGTAATTGTGGACCAGCGTTGCCCGCCTTTCAGACTACTCATGTGCTTATCAAAATATTCAGTTATCAATTAAACGCTGGACCAAATGCGCTTAAATTTTCCAGCTTGTTTGTGAACTCCCACGGATGAACCCATACAACACAGATGATTGAAAACTGGGTGTAATGGTGACTCCAAGTGGGGTCGTTTAACAGTTAGCAAGCAAGCATGCGTGAATGGATACATTCGTCTTTAGGCAGGGAACCAGTGGTCTCATTTCCTCAGGGAATGGTTGGCGAAACAATGAATTGTATTGGTAATGTTATCAGTGCGAACGATTATGACAGAAAACAAAACCAGACAAGCAGCCTTCGAACACTTACCCCCGTGTTCACAAACGATCCTCGACTCGACTTTCACCATTCACTTGACAGAGTTGAGCACTGTGCCGCTGCTCGGCTGAAAATGACGCTGCGCTACTCAAGAATAGCAGCAAATTATCACTGATATGCAGTAACTTGCCCTGCACAGAGATGGCGCTCCCATCGGCTTTCCCAAGTGAAAGTGGAGCGTTGAGTGAAGGGGCGTTCTGGAATACGGGCGTTACTATAGAACGCGTTGCATGGCTAGTCGGTTCATCCTGAAAAAAGGTGAAGAACGCAACCCACCCACAAGATAAAGCATAAACTTGCAAATAAAATTACCACGAACAATACCACGCTTATGGTATAAAGATTGCACAAAAGTTTTTAAAAATTTGTTCTGCTGTACCCAGGGTGACAGACGTCTGACTGATGGGCACATCTCGTTCAATATGGATAAAATACGCCTCCGAAATGTGACATGACACAGTATTCTTGCACGTTACACAGTGTTCTTGTTCCTTTGACAACTTTAGCCTACAAGTATTTTTTTGAATACTTTCGAACACGACTGCTTTGCTTCACACAAAGCGTGAGCTTTCACATAAGTGATTATCGTTACGCTATAGTCGAGAACAATCCATTACACGCTCTGCTTTTCAGGCAGTGACCGTGTTCATCTATACTCTCACGAAACGGTACAAACCTTGCATATTGAACGGCCCTCAACTTTAGGCTATTGTGTCGAGGTCGAATTTACGTATGATGGATCGTCGTTTGTTCTGCATCGTGCGTACATATCGTATGCGCATTTAAGCAGGCACCGCTCTTACAAAGGCGCAGCACAGTCTGTACTGTTTTATCTGCGGGCACCCTCGAGATCAACTTTCGAGTTTGTAGCACGTGGAAGTTTCAATGGGCTGCGAGAATAAATAGACGATCTGACTTGTCATTCCCGAAAGCAAAGCGGACGGAGATCGCTTTTTTAATTGACCCCTGCGCCTGCCTAAGGCCACCCACATTGAAACTCGATTGCCTGTAATGACCACGTGGTAAGAGATTGTTGATTGATTTAATGATTGATATGTGGGGTTTAACGTCTCAAAACCACCATATGATAATGAGAGACGCAGTAGAGGAGAGCTCCGGAAATTTCGACCATCTGGGTTTCTTCAACGTGTACCGAAATCTGCGCACATGGTTCAATAAAGTGGAATGCTGGGTTAGTTGGTACAACATGATGTGGAAATATATGAGCGCATAAGGTAGAGGGAAAAAGCACTTGACAGGAAAGGCGGCCTACAGCATTTTCGCCTCCATGTTCAGAAGGGGGTCATTCCTAATTCCTCTCTGACTTTCTTTGATACTCCCCGCCAGTATTGCACATGTGGGTATTTGGTCAATCAAGCAACCAAGCTGAGCCGCCCCCCCTCCCCCACTCCACCCACACAAGTGTGGGTTTCTTTCTTTCTTTCTTTCTTTCTTTCTTTCTTTCTTTCTTTCTTTCTTTCTTTCTTTCTTTCTTTCTTTCTTTCAAATTGCGGGGCTGCCTTTCAGCTTAATAATAATAAAGATATCTTAGATCTTACGTCCCGGTTTAGAAACGCCGTATCGGAAGACTCCGGCATTTCGAACCCTGTAGTGTTCACTAAGGTGCATTGACACCGCATAGTACACAGGTATATACAATTTCGCCTCCATCGAAATGCCACCGCTACGACCGGGATCGAACGCGCAGCCTTTGGGTTGAAAACTATTCACAGTAGCCACTGCTTCATCGAGGTGGACAGTCTGTTCTAGCATTTTCGTTCCTCCACGCCGAAAATAAGACGTTCATCTACGTGCTCCGCAGCAGAATATTTCTGTTTGCCTCCAGCAACAATGACAGTAACGTGCGGAACAATGAAATAACATAATGGCCAAGTGAAAACGACAAATGGTAAGTGACCTTACTTGAAGATCAGATTTTCATACTAGCCCTGACTGATCGCTGACAAGCCAACGAGTCGGTGAGCGTTAATTATTGGAAAATGACGCCTACTCATAAAAAAGCTGAGCGGCGCACATTCGAGAGCCTTATTTGTGTAAGCTGATTGTTGCGCTTAGAAACTTCACATAGAGTGCAGTGAAGTGAAGTGAAGAGAAGTTTATTTTCCTTTAATACAAAGGAGGAAGCCGGAGCTAAAGGCTGGGGTGCCTGACAAAGGCCTCGGCTCCATTGTACAGTCTGGCTACAGTTAACAAATCAATATAACTACATACATGTAATAATAATGAGATAAATGAGCTACACTTGCAAGTACAACAAAATCAACTGTTCTTAAGCATATAGCAGTGAAAATGTTAAACCTTACAGAGACCAGAGTAAGTATTTATTTGTTTCTTTTTTAAATATTTTCATTAAAACCCCAAAATTAACATGTGTAGACATTCTATTCATGGCCACAGTCACCTGATAAGTTGATTTTTGTTTGCCATAGTTAGTACGTGTCTTCGGGACCCGCAGGCTTCGTTTTAGAAAATGGTATGCATAATTAGTTAAAGTATTGCTTTGAGTATGTAAATGATTGACTTTATTATGCTGCAACAGACGAAAAAAATAGACTTGATTCACTTTAAGCAAAGCATAGTGACGAAACAATGGCAAAGTGGGAAGATCCTGCTTCCCACTTCGGAGTGGGAAGATCCTGCTGAAGGGGGAAGGCTTCTACGCTTTCCTTGTATTCATTATTTCTTCTTTTTATGCAGCAGTGACAAACAAAAAACTGGTACCTCGATCAATTCGATTGTCGTTTACGTAAGCACTGCATGTCACGTGGTTGTCGTTTTCAGAAAGCGCTGCATCCGCTCAGGGTCACTGGAGGATCGCATCACATGCACGTGGCACGGCAGCTGGATTAAAAAAAGGATTGATTGATACGTGAGGTTTAACGTCCCAAAACACCCACATGATGATGAGAGACGCCGTAGTGGAAGGCTTCGGAAATTTCGACCACCTGGGGTTCTTTAACGTGCACCCAAATCTGAGCACACAACACTTCCGCCTCCATCGGAAATGCAGGTGGCGCAGCCGGGATTTCATCCCGCGACCTGCAGGTCAGCAGCCAAGTACCTCAGCCACTAGACCGCCATGGCGGGGCATGATTAAAAAGGAGGCCATGCATGTGGCATCTCTCATTAAACTTAACTAGAGTTATTGGGACACCACTCAATGTTCCGGACTTTGGCTTTAATGATCATGACCGATGGATGTCTGTTCTGAGATTGTACACAAGACAGGTTTTTCTTGTATTAAGCTTCCACTTGGCCGTCAGTGCTTGTGCTGATGTAGTCGTTCTCTTACTGTCCTCGTTTAGTGTCCTGCGTGGCAAGTAGCGTCAGGTCGCTTGACCATTTCTTCTAGACGTGAACGCACTAGCCTTCATGGAATTATTCAAAGTCAATGAACTTCATTCCGGCAGAACTATGAAAAATCGTTGACCCTCAATCTGACAAATTACATAATGATTTCGAAGCCTGCCAGCTATTCAGTTACTGTAGCTGACTTCGAAGGGAGAAGCTGACCTGTTGTCAGTGGAGGAGAAAAATAGAAAAAAAACAATCTAGTCACGTTCTGTCACTCACAGCACAGAAAACTAAAGAGTCTTGACTGCTTAGAGCCGCCCCACTCTTTCGTGGGTAGGGTTGATTTCTATCAGGCCAAATTAAAGAAAACAAGGAGTGGTCTCTTTTATATTACTGTTTATTTTTGTTGCCCTTCCCTTTGCCTTATTAGTACGAACGATAGCGGTCGTAATAGGTGGTCTCCTGACTGGCACGTAGAGACGTCTACTTAAAAAACCCTTACAGCAGATGCCGAGGCTTTGTCTGTGTCTTCCAATTTTTGCTCTCGACATGCGCACAAGTCATGTTAAATGCTATTGTCCAGAGTCCTGTGAAACATGTAAGACAAACATGTGGGACAAAAACTCGCTCACAAGTGCCAAATGAAAGTTTCCAAAGAGAAACAAAACAGGACCAAATACAATCTGCGGCAGCAGCTACTGACGAAATAATCGCGTCGACACAAAGCTTAAGCGATCGAACGAAGGCTCAGTTTGAGGTCAGCGAGCAAGCTATATGACGAGTGACAGACAGCGGTTGTTATAGAGGGGTGCTTGAAGGGAAAACAACGTCAGCGCGATTGCCAAATTATTCGCGACCCTCTGTAGTCTTTATTCTTTTCATCTTTTCTCTTACATCGTAGAGCATTGTCTTATCTTTGTTTTCCTGACGCCCGCGTCAATTTTCAGCGATTGGCCTTCCATTTCTGGGTAACGCCCGATATGCCTGCGAGCAAGAGTTATTCTTGCGCCTACCAGCCTGCCTGCCAGCCTGCCTGCCAGTCTATGTCGGCTGGACATGGCTTCAGAGAGTGACAGTTCGCCCGACCAGCTGCTGTTTTCTCTGGCCGGACTAATTTCGAGACCACCACTAGCTGGCGTTCGACAATATCCATGGACGCGCGTATATAAAGCGCTAGTGGTCGGCCGTGAAGCCTCACACTTGATCTGTTTGCAAGACAGCCGAGAGTCTATACCCAGAACAATGCAGGCTCTGGTAAGCCTTCGGTGCTTTTCGTTTTCTGCTGCCAGCCGTTCTCTCGTGGATTCTCGCGAAGTGCGAGACCTTTGCAACATCTTAGATCTTGTGGATAGTTAAGGTATGCACGTGGTTGCGTCGTTTCCGTGCCTGAAGACTGTTTGGAAAAAGTGCGTGGTTGGCCAAGATCCCGTGTCGGTGATGCTCAGCTGCTCCGGATGGTTCGGGTTTATAAAGCTCATTCATGCTTAGCAAGGCCAAAGTACAAGTTCATCGAGAAGATATGGTTCAAAGGGCACTCGCATTTTAGAGAACAAGTGCTTGAACAACTTTAATCATAATGATTTGGGACAGGAGCTCGTGAGCTCGATAGGTGGGACGCCAAGTTCGTTGGCTCCTGCAGCCAGCCTGACGTGACCCAGAAGCAACAGCCGCACTTATGGGCTAGAGGTGACAAGCTGCGCCCTACATGGTTCGAAAGTGTTAGAGATATTAAGATGGCCTAAAGACGTATCTGAGTTTGGTGGTATGTGTTGGTATCCCCGCGCAATATAATAAATGGTGTAAAGCAATGGCAAGCCGACCCACACGAACATGCGTAGTCTCGGGCATAGTTTTTATCTCGATCATCGGAATTTCTCAATTTGTTTTGCTTCAAGTGTGTTGAATAAATCTATGAGTCTCGCCTTAGCTCATTGTAAGAATAAACTGTAGTGATGCTATCTTCATACCATTATTTATTCCTTTGGCAGACCGTTGCTCTTTTCCTTGGCCTTGTGGCCTTCGCTGCCGCTGGCTTTCTGGGCCATGGATACGGCCATGGTTACGGCCACGGCTACGGCCACGGCTACGGCAAGGCCTACCTCGCCAACTCTGCTGTGACCTGGTCCATCACCCCCTCTGCTCTCGGCGGATACGGACATGGTGGATACGGTGGTTACGGCCATGGTTACGGCCATGGATACGGCCATGGATACGGCCATGGTGCTGTCCTCCTCGGCTACGGCCATGGATATGGCCATGGATATGGCCATGGTTACGGCCATGGTTATGGTCACGGTTACGTCTATTGAGGCTTCGGTGAGCTCAACTGTGAAACAGTAAGCTTGTATGTTTGAAATGAGAGGTGCAGTGCTAATTTAAAAGGAAGATCACATAAATAAAGAACGAAGGGAGTAAAAACGATCTTATACAATGTGCCTTAGCTATCACGTAGCACGATTTTAAAAAACAGATGAATGGCATTTCGCAAAGCAAACCTAGTTTATGCTGTTCCTAGTACACTGGAGCAGGCTCTGGTTTTTTAGTTAACGAAATTTAACTAGATATAATGTTATTTTTAATTGCACAAGCACTGACCCAATTATCCAAGTGTCAAAGGGGCATTGTAGGCACGTTCGAATGACTTCTAAATGCAATACTTTCTACAACGTAGAAATTGCAAGTTCTTTTTTTTTCCGGTTGATGAAGAAAGCCCGCGCAATCTGGAGAGCGACACGAGACTAGACTGATTGATTGATTTGTGGGGTTTAACGTCCCAAAACCACCATATGATTATGAGAGACGCCGTAGTGGAGGGCTCCGGAAATTTTGACCACCTGGGGTTCTTTAACGTGCACCCAAATCTGAGCATACGGGCCTCGACATTTCCGCCTCCATCGGAAATGCAGCCGCCACAGCCGGGATTCGAACCCGCGACCTGCGGGTCAGCAGCCGAGTACCTTAGCCACTAGACCACCGCGGCGGGGCACACGAGACTAGACTGTTGCGCGCATTAGAAAGTCGCACCTTCACATAGGCTCACTGTCATGTAGCCAGTATGAAGCAAAGAAGTATAGGTCGCCCTATCTGTCATTCCACGGCTGAAGAAACACGTTGCTTCGGTAATCAGAACAGTTCTGCCGCGTTATCAATAGGAACAGTTGATCGCCAGACCTGGTTAAAAATGTTCACGCATAATCGAGGGAAATTATTTTTCTGCATAATTGCGACGCATGTTGGCACCCAACCTGTAACCTTGCCTAAAGGCGTAACGCTGTCTATGACGATGCCAAAGCAATTGCTTGCGGAAATCTAATTTGAGGGCGCTGTCTTGTTTTGCAGGTGGGAGCTCATCCGCGGGTTACTTTTCCCATTTCACGGTTTTTCTTCATCATCCAAAAAAATGAAATAAAGTGAGCACGCAATTCGTACGCACCTTAAGATAGCGCAGGGAGGTGTTATTTAAAGATGGTGACATAGTGCTCATTGGCATTTAGATAATTACGCTTGTACCCATTGAGTTATCGATGCAAGCATTACTAATTAGTCAAGTCTCCTTAATAAAAAAGAGATTGTGGTGTGGTACCTTATCCAGTCCAGAGAGAACAATATGTACCTGGTTTTCTTCACGTGACGCCCTTGCTCTATTTTAAAATAATTTTGCATGACAGGTGAGACGCCCTGCATTTAAACTACACGCCAAGACGGTATCAGCGAGCATAAGACGATGCAGGCGCTCAGCTGCACAATTTTTACGCCTTACGTGATTTTAACAATCACATTCTTTTTTGTTTCTCTGCAGCTGTGTAAGTCCGATGGTCTACATAATGGCGTCTTGCTTGTGTCAATCATTGATCATTAAGATTCATAACTCCCTCACGTAGTTCCTCCGGATGCTGTACACGTTACGTCGGGAGCTATGTTATCGTCTTACGCACATACCTGTGCAATTAACATAATTTAAATGGGCAGCTGCTTCAATTTAGGCGTTGGTTGCTCCAGCATATTAAGTATTAGTCATTGAGTTCACTCGACAGTTAAATTCCAAGACAATTTTCGTCCGTCATACCTCCAACGGTGTGCTATCAGTAGCGGATGCATTGAGCCAAGTAATTTTGAGACTGGACTATCCATATTATAGAACGATATGTCAAGCTAGATCAGGTAGGTCTCATTATAAGTAAAACCTTTGTTTTTTCTTTTATCTTTCAGGTGTTTACACTGTAGGAACCTCGGAGTGTGCTGTAAGACTGTTGTGTCAATGACACCGAATCTGTATTTATTTCTGATACCGAACGAGAACCAATAAAGCACGAAAAAAAATGACACGTTCGTTTTGCTTTTACAAATGGCTTTCGTCATTGTAACACTTCCGAAAAATTACAAACAAAACTTCTGTGTACCGGATAATGTTTGCAGTCGATTGTATGGCCGCGACTTTACGGAGGGTAGTGAACCGACATTCTGCTTAACTTTACTGCATATGTAATGCACATAAAGGTTAGTAGTTTCAGGCAACGCGTGTTCTTTTTTGGATTTGTTTTCTTACCTTTTTGAGATGATGCGGTGATGATTTCGGTCCCGACAGCAGTTTCTCACCAAACTGAACAACCGCACTTTCACTCACACAGCCAGCAGTGGCTATAACGTGGGACGCCTATAGTCCAATATGTTTACTAAATACCGGAACCATTTTTGTGATGGCTACATTCTGTTCATTCGATCTATGTCTATTAACTGGATTGCTTAAGAACGTTTTTTGTTCCTACCTTCTTTCCGGCTAACAAATGCATTAAAGGTAACACATCATTAGGTTATATTCAGCGTGAAACGTTAACTGCTTCATTGAAACATCCTTCAAGTCAACCCTAAAGCCAAGACTGAAAGAGTATGCGTAGTATTAACAAGCCGTTCCCGCCCCACAGAAAGTGCCAGCGTCGGCCGCATACCAAGCCCCACTCCGTGGCGCAAGGGTCGACAGTCGTGTCTCTTACACTCACGAATTGAACGGCGACACACGCAAAGGCTAAACGGGTGCTCACATACGCATACCTACTTTCTAAACGGTCTATTATCAAAACGAAGTACAGTGACGCAACGATACAAAAGTAGTGCTTCGGTAACGCTTGGCGCCATGCACCCTATATGCCTACCATCGTTAATAGGCACAGGAAATAGCCGAGCCAGCGCCGGCGCAACAGACATACGATCGCAACCGAGCTAGTATACCTCCTGAATAATGAATCCCACCACGAGTTGAATACAGTGGGGGAGGCATAGCCGCTTGAAGAGGCCCGTCGATGCTATATAATGCGCAGGATATGGGAGCCCAAGGGAGAGTCCTTGATTGGAAATCGAAGCCGAAGTTGCCGCACCTAGTTTTTCACTCGAGCGTGCGCGCGCGTGTGTAAGTCCGGAACAGCAACGTTATGTGACCCCGAAAGTACAAGTAGCATAGGCTGCGTATTTGTGCTCAGTGTAAGGATTTAATATAGCCCTGATGGTCGCGACGCCTACCGCCCTTCGCAGGCACCCGTCAAGCATAGAGCGGAAAGGATAATTGATGGCCTATATAGACCACCAGTGATGGCAGCTCCACTGAACGGCTGGCGAAGTCGGATCATTTCTCTTTACTCTCTGCCTCGTTTCAGGGGTTTTTTTTTCTTTTGTGGCACGTGTAGTTGCGGATGTATCCGATAGCTGATGTAGATGGCGCTCTTGGAACTGTTGCAGTCGCAAGTGCCGTGCTGCGCAGTGCGTTCAGAAACGAACATCTACAACCGGACCCATTTGTGAGAAAACACGACCGCTATACGTGACACATAAGTAGCGTGACTAATTCCATATCCCGATGACGAATTCGATTGCATCGGGGTTTACGCGGTTTGTTAGTTGGGTGTGTGGTTTGTCGCGGCCTTCAGGCAACCGGAATGCATGTGCAATTGCCTGGAGGTATACGAGTGGTCGAAGAAGTAAAACGAGTGCCCTATTTTTTAAACACTTGACGATCGGAATTATTTTTTTCCAAAGATACAAAGTAGTTGATTAGGCAAGTTTGTCGAGCGCTGCCACCACCTGGTACGAGGACTTTCGTAAGTTTGTTATCGTGAGAAGTATCACGAAATTAACATAGTATGGATGTTCTCACAGTCCCTCTTGACGCAAGCAGTGAAGCACTACAAGACACACAAGCAAAGACAAGAGACCTGGCCCCTTTATGTTCGTATGCATTACAGTGCGAATCTGCTTAAGCCACGTGTATTCTACGAACAGTGTGCCACACTGCAGGATGTAAAAAACGTCCATCATTCTCAGAAGCTAAGAAGCCCAAGCTGCCATTAAAAGAGTGGACCCTACTGGCATGGTGTTGGAGAACGGAAAACCCGAATCGGCCCTACTTCTTTGTATCGAAAGGTGTATAATTACCACTTGCATGCAGCGCAGTCGTCGTTCACCTCAAATGATCCTTCATTCTTAATCTAAATCATCTTATACAGCAACCCCATTTGCGCACGATGTGAAAGCGTGTTGCCACTTTTGGAGCTTAAGCACCACAATCATTACCCTGAACGCAGGTGCAAATTTCTACAAGCCTACAGTACGCGAGATCATGGTCACACGATCGTTGGAACTCACGCTTGCATGATTTCGTCTATCCGATGCCAAGTCCTTCAGACATTGAGTGCGAGCTATCAGCCACCGGAACGGAAGCACAGACGCCACCAGAGCAGCAATTATTAAATGAATAAACAAATCACTATCCTTGAAGCAGATACTCTACTCGCATCATTAAATGGCAGCTGCTACCGAACATGGCGCGTCTGGGTTCACGCATGAGTAAGTCAATGCCCCTCGATTATCCCACGCTACCGACATACAACTCACACCTTCGTTCGGATTAGAAAAAAAAATAGACGTGTGAACCTTTCTTCGTACGAATGACCTCGTACACAGCCAAAAAATCAATCATATGCTGTTGTACTTTTTTTTTAGTGCTAGCGAGCTTTATTAAAAGCGTATATGCGACTTGACATGGACTTTGCTCCTGATTGATATTGTCCACGTCCAAAGGGATGCCTGCCAACTCAAGCAACAATTAGCGCTGCCAATACCGGTGATCTCGTGTGCGAAACTTTCAATGACCTAAAGCTTGCCTTAAATGCATGCACTCCGTCTATTGGGCAGCTTTAGAATCTGATAACAATTAATGTAAAGCAATACCATTTTCCGCTGCCAATACCGACATGTAGCTTTCACTCGCACAGTCTTGTACATCACAGATAATAATAGTAACTTCGCGCATGCTTCGCGCATGCAGAACAAAACGTTAAGTAGGTGCTCGTGTTTAATAAGGGTGCTTGCTAAACACCCACCGAGTGGTCTTGCCAAAGTAATTTGTCCAAACTGAAGTTTGTATCTAAAGTGACCTCGTGGAATCGGCAACAAGTGAGACCTATCCATTGGCTCTGGACACGTATCACTTTAAAGTCCAGTTTGCTTTGCCTAATTTCATCATCCAATTCGACATTGCCAGCTTATCAAGGGAATACGTTAGACCCGTCTACGGTAAGATGCATTGGTAAGAAGCTTAGATTCTAATAAAGGACACCAAGACGTACTGACATGGGCAATAAAGGAGAGAATGCAAATGCACTGCGTTTGCGTTTTCTCGTCATCTTTTACCGTCCCCTGGCCTGCACACCCTACCTGCATCTGCTATAACTGGCTAGCTCAATGAAGTGTCGTTTGGAATAATTTCTAATGGGTCCAATTTATTCATTGTGGAAATTGTACAAACCTGAAAACGTGTTGACCAACTACTTCACCTGTAAACGGGACGGCTGATTGCTCTCCCATAGTTGAGTACGAAGTACTCGATATCGTTAAGCACTTTGCTCTAAACACACACCTGGATTTCTGTTACTAGTATGCAGTGAACTTCCTGTGTACCCTCTCGTTCTTTATGAAAGGGAACACGCGAACGCGTGGCCTGTGCTCTGCAGCGGCTGCCTACAGCGCCCTCAACCGCGAAGTGAAGAAAGTACGTGCGCTTTTGGTGCCATCTATGGCCAAGCAAGATAACGAGTCTTGGGCGGCAGACAAGCGCTGCTAGATTACGTTTTCTCGCCGTTTGCGCGGCGGGCGATTATCGGGCGATTATACTGCAGCTTGCGCCGTGGTCGCGCACAACGTTTGATATGTTGGCAGTTGACTACGCAATGCAGGCGTGAGCAGAGATTGAGTGCAATCTAGCAGCGCTTGTCTGCCGGCCACAACTCGTTATTATTATTATTATTATTATTTTTTGGCAACAAATGACGCTGGAAGCGAACGCACTTTCTTCACTTTTCGGTTGATGGTGCTGTAGGCAGCCGCTGCAGAGTGCAGGCCACGCGTTCGTGTGTTCCCTTTCATAAAGGGCGACAGTGTATGTACATACCATAGGAGCGACGACCGCGAGCGTGCCGAATGTGGAACGACGAAGACAATGACGATTGCGTGTGTGCTCGTGGCACGCGACAGCTGCTGGCAGCGGACAGCCACTAACAATAGGAGAACAACAACAACAACAACAACAACAACAACAACAACAACAACAACAACAACAACAACAACAACAACAGTTGCGGCTCGGGTTCCGTTCAGTAAACGAGGTTTCTGTCGGTCCCCGCCTCCTCTATGAGGGGTTCCCGGGCTAGCCTCAGCCTCGAACCCCTACAACACACAGATCGTGACAGCTTGATGCTCTCTTATATTAGAGTGTACATCATACTCTGAATCGTGCAACAATAGTTTTGAACACATGGATCATGCAGCTTGCTTCGCTTTTTAGACATGACTTCCTGTACCACCGAAAACATGGAATACATGTGAGTAGATATTGAGCACACTTCATACAATAAAGGAGTACTCTCCATGCATCCTTTCTTGAAATTTCTGTTATGCCAACTGCAAGCGGTATACTAGCCATCAATATATATTTCTTTAGGGAGGGGGCTTTCACTACTCTTCACGCATGGTCATGCATGTGTTTGCATGCGTGCATATACATGCCCAGACAACCAAATTTATAAATTTTGGTGGGAGGAGGAGAGGAGGGATTGAAACTTCTCCTGTCCGCGACTATGCCAGTGACTGCAAGACTGATTTATAACCTCAATAATTTAGCGCTCCCCATTCTAGTATGTAACGCGACTAAATGATTCATCGCGGAATCCATGACTAAAGTTTCCGGGGTGCTTGCGTCAGCAAACTGAGCAGCGCTTGATGCCATAGGCAAGATCTAATTGGTTCAGAGACTAACTTCACGCACCTACACGCGGAGCTC